AAGACCCAAATAACAGCATCCCAGAGAAGAATCTCAAAAGTATTTCTAGAAATACAAAGCTACCCAGGACCAGCCCTGGCTGGTGCTTCTCAGTGGTTAGAAAAGTCAGCCTGCACACCAAAGGGGCACAGGGCATGTACCTGGGTTGCAGGTTCAATCCCCAGCCCTGGTCAGGCAGCGTGCAGGAGGCAACCAATCTCTCTCTACTTCTCCTTCCCTCCCTTCCTCCCTTCCTTTATCCCTCCCTCCTCCTTCCCTCCCTTCTACTTTCTCTAAAAATCAATGAAAAAAAATATTCTCAGGTGAGGATTAACTACACACACACACACACACACACACACACACACACACACACGAGAGGCCCGGTACACGAATTTGTGCATGGGTGGTGTCCGGCTGGCCTGCCCTGATGGGGGCCCCATCAGGCCAGGCCAGTGGGGGGAGTGGGGGGGCCATAGGTGGTTGGCTGGCCAGCCCTGCCCCCAATCGGGATGGGGGAGCTGATCGGGGACTGGGTTTGGCGGGGGAGGGGGACTGATTGGGTCCCAGATCAGGCTGGTTGGCTGCTGTAGTGCACGTCATAGCCACCGGTCATACTGGTCGTTCCACCATTCCAGTTGCTGAGCTTTTATGTATAGAGACAGAAAAATTCACAGTACCTGGCTTCCAAATGAATACTTCTCCTCTAATATTAGAAATAAGACAAGGATGTCTGCTCTTATTATTTCTATAAAGCAAGGGAGGAAAAAAAGACATCCAGATTGAAATGAAGTGAAACTATACCAACTGAAAAACAGAGACCATCAGAGTGGATCAAAACAGAGGAGCCAACTATATGCTGTCTACCATAACCCCACTTTAAATCTAAAAGTACATATAGATTAAAAGTAAATAAGTGGAGAAAGATATACCTTTCGAACACTAATCAAAAGAAAGCGGGAGTAGCTGTTTTATTTCAGAGCTGACCTCAAAGCAAATAAAGTTATCGGGAATAAAGAGGGGCATTATGTAATTATAAGGAGGCTAATTCTCCAAAAAGAAATAATCCTTAATGTGTAAGTGCCTAATAACAGAGCATCTAACTACTACATGAGGCAACAAGTGATAGAACTGCAAGGAGAAATAGATGAATCCACTATCATAGTGGGAGACCTCAACACCCCTCTGTTAGAAATGGAAAGATCCAGCAGGCAGGAAATCAGTAAAAACATAAATTCAGCACCATCAATCAACTAGATATAATGGACATCTACAGACTACTTCATTAAACAGCAGAAAAACATTCTTCTCAAGCTTATATGGAACATTCACCAAGACAGACCACATTCTGGGCCATAAAATGCACCTTAACAAATTTAAAATAGAAATCATACAATGTTTGCTCTCAGACTAAAATGAAATTAAGCTAGAAATTAATAACAGAAAGATAAATAGAAAATACCAAAATATACAGAGATTAAACAACACACTTTTAAAGATTTTTTTATAAATGTTTTTATTGATTTTTTTAAAATATATATTCCATTGATTTTTTACAGAGAGGAAGGGAGAGGGATAGAGAGTTAGAAACATCGATGAGAGAGAAACATCGATCAGCCGCCTCCTGCACACCCCCCACTGGGGATGTGCCCGCAACCCAGCTACATACCCTTGACCGGAATCGAACCTGCGACCCTTCAGTCCGCAGGCCGACACTCTATCCACTGAGCCAAACCGATTAGGGCTTGATTTTTTTTTTTTTTTTATAGAGAGAGAGAAGAAGGGATAGGGAGAGAGAGACAGAAATATCGATGAGAAACACTGATTGGCTGTCTCCTGCACACCCCCTACTGAAGACTGAGCCCACAACCTGGGCATGTGCCCTGTCTGGGAATCAAACCAGTGCCCTCTTGATGCATGGGTGGATGCTCAACCACTGAGACACACCAGCTGGGCTAAACAATACACTTTTAAATAACACATGTGTCAAAGAAAAAAATCTCAAGAGAAATTTTTAAATATTTTGAACTAATGTAAATGAAAACAACACTAAAATTTATGGGATGCAGCAAAAGCAGTGTATAGAGGAAAATTTATAGCACTGAGGTAGTAAAGGGTTTCCCAAAATTCACGCAAGAAGAAACAGACAATCTGAATAGGCTTTTATCTAAAGAAACTGAATTAACAATTAACAACCACCCCAAATAGAAAGCATCAAGTGGGTTCACTGTTGAAGTCTACCACACATTTAAGGAAGAAATTATAACATTCCTCAAATGTTATAACCATAGCAAGTTGGATTTATCCTAGGTATGTAAGGCTGGTTCAACATTCAACAATCAAATCCATCACAATTTGTTGAGAAGACTCCATTGTATTACATTTGGTCCTTTGTCAAAGATCAGTTGACTATACTTACGTGGATTTATTTCTGGGCTGTCTATTCTGTTCCATTGATCTATTGGTGTATTTTTTTCATCAGCACTAAATTTTTTCTTTATCTTTGATTTTCTGTAGTTTGAAAATGATATGCCTAGGTGTAGTTGGGTTTTTTGTTAGTTTGTATTTAACTTACCCTGTTACTTTTAACAAATTTTAGTGAACAGGCTAGGCTGTATGTTGGGAAAAGCACTGTAGTAATTTCACCAACATAAATAAATATTATATATCTTCAATTATAGTCTACATATTTAAATCCAAGAGTTACCGCTGGTAAACAATGTTTGGCAAATGATTAGCACGTGATCACACCACCTGAAGCTAGATTCTGTTGTCACATGGCATGACTTTCTGCAGTGGTTTTAACGCTGCCGGCTGATGTTCCCGTGTGCACTGAGCCACGCCCTAGCCGTGTGCATTTGTTTACTCCTGGTGACTGGTGAATGCACACATTAACTAGACCTATTTGGTATAAATTTAAAATTACAGTAATACATATAGAAAACTTTTCTGTTAAATTAAACTTTTCATACATTTTAATTACACAAACCTGTCTACGTAAGTAAAAACAGGTAAAATAATTAATTTGTCAATTTTTTAACATATGCATTCAGAAAACCTACTTTATTATATAACGGACTTTTAGCTTTAACGGACACCCCCTCACCCAAATTAGTCTGTTATATCAAGGTTTTACTGTAGTCATTAGGGCGATACATATTAGAACCACAATGAAATGCAACACAGATTAAAATGTCTAAAATGAAAAAGACTGACTGTACCACATTTGCTGAGGATCTAAAACAAATAGAACACCCAGCTGGCATGACTCAGTGGTTGAGCATCGACCTATAAACCAGGAGATCATGGTTCGATTCCCGGTCAGGGCACATACTCTGGTTGTGGGCTGGATCCCAGTGTGAGGCATGCAGGAGGCAGCCGATCAATGATACTCTCTCATCATTGATGTTTCTATCTCTCTCTCCCTCTCTCTTCCTCTCTGAAACCAATAAAAATATATTTTAAAAAAATAACAGAAATAGGAGACATACATCTTTTGATGATGATGTAATATAGTACAGACACTTTCAAAACTAGTGTGGTAATTTCTTTAACAGTTACACATATACCTACATTGACCAGTCATTCCACTGGTAGAGATTTACCTAAGAAACTGAAATTTTATGTCTATACAAAGACTTGTATATGAACGTTCAATAGCAATTTTATTTGTAATACCAAAATACTCATCAACATGTGAATTGACAAAAAGATTGTGGTTAATTCAAGCCATGTAATACTATTCTGCAATACAAAAGAATGAAATACTGACCCATGCAACAATGTGGATGAATCTTAAAATAATTATGCTTCGATAAAGAAGCCAGACTCCTTCCTCCTAAAAGGAGTACATACTGTATGATTCCATTTATGCAAAATTATAGAAAATAGAAACTAATTTATAGTGACAGAAAGCAGATCAACAGCTGTCTAGGGATTGGGGGAGGAGCAATAGTAAGAATTACAAATAGACATGAATAAAACTTTTGGGAATAATGATTATATTCATTACTTTGATTACAGTGATGGTTGTGCAGGTGTATACATATGTCAAAGCTTAGGGCAGCGGTTCTCAACCTGTGGGTCGGGACCCCTTTGGCAGTCGAACGACCCTTTCACAGGGGTCGCCTAAGACCATCCTGCATATCAGATATTTACATTATGATTCATAACAGTAGCAACATTACAGTTATGAAGTAGCAACGAAAATAATTTTATGGTTGGGTCACAACATGAGGAATTGTATTTAAAGGGCCAGAAGGTTGAGAACCACTGGCTTAGGGAATCACATACACTGTGTGCTATTTATAATAATGTCAACTGCACCCCAATAAAGCTGTTTTTAAAAAGTAGAATTAGAGCGAATGACATCTCAACACTGACATGAAATAATATCCATGATACATATTAAATAAAAAATTAAAAAGCTGTAGAATTATATATATCATAAATCCATTTATGCAAAATATGTATCCTTATACTGAATATATGCATGTGTATTGACAAAAAGTCTGAGGAAATATATATTAGCTTGTTTATATATTGGAGAAGCAATATGGAAAGCTTTTTATTTATATATCTCTGTATTGTTTGAACTTTGTATAACAACTGTGCATTACTTCTGAAATTTAAAAGATAGAAGACAGTAAAAGAAATAATTAGCAGGTTTAAAAGTCTCTGGGCAAGATGAACTTCAAGGTAAAGGCCAAACTGACTTATTTTAATAAGGAAACGATGGAGTCTGTGTTTGGAGAATAAATTCCCAATTGCCTCGGATTCACGGGGCTAACCAGCCTCAGAGCTGCCGGCCGCTCTCTCCCAGGGGGAGTCACTACCTCCTGAGTCACCTCCACGGATGACATCACCTGTCTGTTCCCCAGGTTTCCTGAGGCACCAAACTGCCAGGGGCTTTAGAAGACCAACAGTTCTCCCTCTGATCTTCAACGGGCATAAGGAAGAGTCAGGGCTACAGGAAAAGCCTGACAAGGTTCCTGAGCCCACCGGCCTTGGGTAGTCAGTACCTTGGATGATTTTCTGCTGCTGTTGCCGGATTTCATCAAAACCCAAGCCTCTGGTCTCCTCCGGCTCCTCAAAGAGCCAAGGGTTGGGTACGCCTCGCTTAGCCCCTCCCGTCATCAGGCTGGACCTAAGAACAAGATTAAATGTGTTACATAACTCAAAAAATATAGCTCTGCTGCAAATTACTCCCACAAGTGCGGAGGTGGCCAGCCTCGAATGCTTTGAAAATTCAATTCAACCACAATTTATTGCAGCCTACGCTGATGCCAGCAACTGTGTTCAGTGCTGGAAGAGACCTGAGGATGAATAAAGCGCAAGCCTGCTCCTCTGGAGAATTACAGTCTGTTAAGGAGGCTATGGCAGCACGTAATACCCCTACTAATCCTCCAAGATACATTTGAGTCAATAAGCACAAATGAGGGCCTTAAATTTCAAAATCACGAGGTCAGTGGAAATAGCCTTTTTAAGGACAAAGTTTGTCTCACAGGCTCTGTAACATCAAAGGCACATATTTTATCTCAAGAAGACCCAAATTTGCAACCACAGATTATAGCATTAAAAAATGACCATATAATTTTCTATTAATGGGTATTTCGTAGCTCACATACAGGGTTCAAATCCAATTTTATGAATGTAATGTAGCATTCATAACATAATAAATTCTGAATTATCGATCTTAATTTCTCTCCCTCTAGTGAACCACATGCCCCTTCTGCGCCAGACACGTTGGTCTCCTTGCTGTCCGAGAACGGGGCACGCACGCTCCCAGCCTCAGTCCCATGTTTACGGGGTTCTTCTCATCTCGAGTACCCCCTCTTGTGTTCCCACCTGTCCGCACTGCCCAAGCCCCAGGGACCATCTTGTTCATGAAACCATCTCTGACCACTTCAATCCAGATGTGAACAGTCACTCACTTTAGAGTTCACAGGAGTCATAAAAAATGACGATGGTGACAATGGCGACAGAGCAGTAGGAGCAGTGACAACGTACGTGCAGGCACAGCTCCAGGAGACTTACAGGTATTCACTAACATTATCGGTGATTCTAGCCCTTTCCTTTCCCATCTCTTTTATTGTCTACGAATAACTGCCACCCTATTGTTTAACCTTTTATATAAATGTCTACTCGGCAGAAGGCAGGAACTGAAAATCACCCGTGATGGGACTGCACACAGCTTCCCAACACGGAGTGAATAGCTGTGAGCTCCACCCACTACCAGCAATACGGTAACATCTGCCTCAGAGAGCTCGGCTGGTTGCAGCGTAGTCCCCCTACACCGACAGGTGGTGGGTTCAATCCCCAGTCGGGGAGAGTAAGGGAGACAACCAATCGCTGTTTATCTCTCACAATAATGTTTCTCTCTCTTTCTCCCTTCCTCTCTCTAAAAATAAAATAAAAAAGTAAAAAAATAAAGCACAAAGCTTTAAAAAAAGTTCTCAGCAATAACAAAGTTATCTTGGTCTTACTCTCACTATAAAAGCAATAGTAAAAGGCGGTAAAAATGATTCCCTAATGCCTTCTTTCCTGGTTATCTGATTCAAAACTTCTGTTACGTTTTTCAAGGCTGAACTACCTCTCTCTCTTTTCTTCTGGTGTCTGTCTTTTGCTGATGCCCCAGACCTGTGGGAAATCCAGCAATGGCCACCCTCTACTAACGAAGCAGGTCAGCTCGCAGGCATCACTAGGCAGAGACTTTTCTTTTCTTTGGGTTTTATGCTCAACTTAATGTTTGGACTGATGCCTACTATTACTCAGTATTCTCCTAGGTAAAAAGAAAATATGGAAGAATTTAAGACATAATTCTTGTTTTCGAGGAGTTTACAATCAAACTGAAAAGAAAAACTACCCACACATGCAGCAATTACTGACTGAAGTCAAGAAAACTGCAGCTTTGTATCCCTGGGCACTTCCAACAACCTCCTCAGCCCATAAAACAAGTGAACTAAGTAGGTCAATGGTTTTCAAAAGTTCTGGTCAAATGCTTGAGGAATAAGACACCCTCATTAACAGCCATTAATAGCGGTTTGGGAGGTGAGTGGGGAAGACTCGTCTTGGTGGGGGAGCCAGGCGTTCCCTTTACTCTTACAGGAAGTGATTTCCCATCCTTGGACATCACTGAATTAGATGATCTGTAAGATCCTTACTGCTTTCATTAAAATTGTTCTCATTAAGTAGCAAATTGCATAAATAAGAACAGAAAAAAACCAATTCCCCACAAAACCCATTCTCCTCTCTCCCAGTCTTTCTATTTCACCACAGACCCATGGGCTCAGGCCAAACACCTTGGAACGCTCTCTGACTCTCTCTCCTACCGCGCACATCTAACCCATTGGAAATCCTTCAAAACGTATCTAAAACCTGACGATTTCTCCTTTACTCTGCTGCTTCCACCCTCCTGCTCCTGCCTCCTGCTCCCACTCCTACCCTCTGCAATGTACTCCCCAAAGAGCTGTCAGAGTGATCACTGTAAAAATAGATCTGCTTCCTCTGCTCTTCCCATCCACCTTTAAAACACGACATCTTTACTATAACTACAAGCCACACTGGTTTCCTTGCTGCTTAGAATACACTGAGCACATTCATATCTCAGGGACTTTGCACCCACTGTCCCCTCCAACCTATCATGGCGAAGGCACGCCTCCCAGTCCTCCCCCAACCCCAGCCCCACCCCATGGTCACGTGGCCTTGCTCCCTTATTCATTCTACTTTGCTGAAATGTCACCTCAGACAGGTTTCCCTGACCACTCTAAAACAGTACCCTTCCCTATAACTCAGCCCCCCAATCCTGCTATATTTTTCTTTATAGTATTTAAACCACCTGCTATTATATGATATATATTTGTTGATTTTCGGTCTCCTACACAAGACTACAAGCTCCACAATAATAGGGACTGTCTTGTTTGTTACTGTATCCTCAGTGCCTGGCATGATAGACACTGAAAAAAAGGCTGAATGAATTAACTAATTCAGCAAAAAACATAACCAAATGAATGAAATAAACAAGCGTAGTCAGGAAATTATAATATCATATGCTGGTGCTGTGTTTTGTAATTTCAAAGGCATTTCACAAACATTATTTCATTTGAATTGTACACAAGCCTGTGTGTAAGTCAGAGTTGGTATTACTGACAAGAAAACTAAGGTAGCCCGGCCGGCGTGGCTCAATGGTTGAACATCAACCATGAACCAGGAGATCATGGTTCGATTCCCAGTCAGGGCAAATGCCTGGGTTATGGGCTCGATCCCCTGAGTGAGCGTGCAGGAGGCAGCTGATCAACTATCCCTCATCATTGATGTTTCTCTCTCTCCCTCTGCCTTCATCTCTGAAATCAATAAAAATGTTTAAACATCAAAGAAAACCAAGGTAAAGAAACATCATAGTGACTTTCTCCAGGTCGCACCCTTAGTGGCAGAGCTAAATGTTCAATGCACAGCTTCTGACTCCTAACCCAAGACAAAATTTTGAAAAAGCAATTCCCCGACACCCTAGAAATATCTTCCTAATCCTAACTTCCAGCAGGCTCTACATCTGCATTTATTGCTTTTTGTTCAGGAAACTCCAACTGATATTCCACTCCAAATCCAATATATCCAAAATCCAACTCATTACTTTCAGCCACAGCTGTGTTCCTCCTCTGCTCTCTGTCTGGTTAGCACCATCACTGTATTCCCAATCATCCAAACCTCCCTCCCCAGCCCCACGTCCTCTCAATGTCCCAGGCCTTCCTCAGAGGTGCTCCTCGAGTATGTGCCCTCACTGCATCCCCACTGGCCCTGCCCTCGTCAGCTCGCATGTAAAAGACGGTCACAGCCTTCTGACTGGTCTCCCTGCTCCCAGTCACCCTCATTCAAACCATCTCCGCCTCTGCGGCCAGAACTCCTTCTAAAGTGGAGTCTCGCCGCAACATTTCCCTATTTTCAAACTTTCACAATTCCCTAGAACAGTGATGGCGAACCTTTTGAGCTCGGCGTGTCAGCATTTTGAAAAGCCCTAACTTAACTCTGGTGCCGTGTCACACATAGAAATTTTTTGATATTTGCAACCACAGTAAAACAAAGACATATTTTTGATATTTATTTTATATATTTAAATGCCATTTAACAAAGAAAAATCAACCAAAAAATGAGTTCGCGTGTCACCTGTGACACACGTGTCATAGGTTCGCCATCACTGCCCTAGAAGGTACAGATGAGGTTTAAGCTTTACAAGGTGGCCCCACTGATCTCTGCCAACACCCCTTCCACGCCCTGCTCTTCCTCCAGCCCCACAGACTGCTCTCCACTTCTGAGACAAAGGCACAAACTTTCACACTCTCATGTTTTTGCATGAGTCTGGAGGGTCCCCACCCCCACCCCTTTGTCCATCTGGCAAAATTCTATTCATCCCGTAAGGCTCAACTCAAATGTCACTTCTGCTGTTTAGTCTATTCTGCTCCCCGTCCCCACCCTCTTCCCTCGAATCAATCACTCCCTGGTGCTCCCCTGGCACTTTGTTCGAAACCTCCAACGTGGCATTTATCAAGCAGGATTGTAGTTAGTTATTTGCTCATCTGTCTCCCTTCCTAAATGACACGCTCTGTAAGGAGAGCAGCCACATGACAGTCTCGTTTATACCGCTAGTGCCAAATAAGCAGAGCTGCGCATGCTGGACAGGAAGCCTTCAGTGCGTGTTCATGAAACAGGACGGGGAAACCACTGAGCTTACTAAGCAAGAGAGACAAGATGAGAGGGGTAGTTAACATTTTTATCATGAGGTTGTCTTCTTTTTTAATATCTTTTTATTGACTTCAGAGAGGAAAGGAGAGAGAGAGAGAGAGAGAGAGAGAGAGAAACATCAATGATGAGAGAGAATCATTGGTCGGCTGCCTTCTGCACGCCCTTCACTGGGGATTGAGCCCACAACCTGGGCATGTGCCCTGACCGGGAATCGAACCACGACCTCCTGGTTCATCACTGAGCCACACCGGCTGGGCAAAATTGTTTTTTTTACTAAAAAAAAAGGCAAAAGAAACCAACTGCTGTCCGCCTTTCAGATTTTAGAGCAAATGGAGAGAATGTTACTAGAAAGGGAATTCTGTCACTAAAACACATTTGGAAGGACAACAAAGGAGTGTTTCTCCTTCAAAA